GCCACCACCCAGGACCTCACGTGTTTGAGCAGTATCTGTATACCACGTTTCCTCTGGTTTGTTTTTTTTTTTTGCTTGTTTTATTTTTTTTTCAGGAGGAAGAACCTGCACACCAGGTAGAATAAGATACCAGGACTGGTTCCACCACCAGTCTGCTGCCTCCATCCACATATAAGAGCCCTCAAACACAGCCACACGACAGAAACAGGAGGGAAAAAACCCAACTAACCCCCCCCCAAACCACCCCATTTTTCAGGAGGAGAAGCAGGCAGAGAGCCCAGGTTCACACACCGACAACCTGCGCGCCCAGCTCAGCAACCGAGCTCTCTGCCAAAATCAAATCGGTGGCGCTGGGCGGTCAGACATCCCGATGGCGTGGAGGGATGCCGTTCCCCGGGCCGGTTGTCTACCTCCCCATCACGGCACACCCTGCTCAAACCTCCAAAACCCCCTGCGTTTGGGCTTAAAAAGCTGCCGTTTGCAGCCGAGGCAGAGCACGCTGCGCATCTTTGCCCTCGCGATCGCGATCCAGTGTTGCGTACGTACGGGAGTTGCACACCACTCATATACGTACCCCTGTATACACAGACAAGTGCGCGGCTGTCGCAATGAGTACCTTAACGCTCATGAAGGGTTATTTTCTTTTATTTGGGAAAATAAAGGCGGCTTTGGAAGTTTTCACGCTATAACGAACCGGCGTTTTGCGCCGCAGGTGAAACAGCATTGGGTCCGGGACAGGTTGCGGGTTTAGCTCTTGTTGTCAGATACCTGACGCTTTCTGCTAAAACGAACCACCAGCGCCTTGCAGCCTTGTACTGCAGCGTGCGAAAAGAGAAAAACCTGAACTGCAAACCCACTTGCTCGCTCGGTAGCTTTACGGTTTCCACAGGGAGTTTGGGGGGTGCAGCGTCGGTGGACCTCGAGTGTTACGTGCCCGACTCCTTGGGGCAGCGCTGGGGGGGACACAAAACTCCCAGGACATGGCTGAGCTGGATGGGGGGGGAAAAGTTATTTGCCGTTGAAGTGCACGGCAGTAAAAGGAGCTGGAAAAAAAAAATTTCCTTCGCGCATTTGAGAGGTTTGTAGTATTTGGGGGTTTCACTGAGGTTGTTTTCCCACGGCTGAGACGTTTCTTTTGTTCAGACTGACGAGGGCAGCGATTCCGTCAGAGGTTTTTTCCTCCCCGTTGAAAAGGGCAGAGAAACGCAAGCAAACTCGCCCGGCCTCA